CTCTGGTTTGATCAGTTTCGCCTGGCTGAATTATGTTGACAATGTGATTAAGGGGCTTGCTCGCAGCTGCACTTTCTTAGATGAACCTGACCTGGAAACAGGGCTAGATTCCAGTTGAAAAGGTTTTTTTGCAAGCTCTGTGCTTCCTCAGCAGCTGGGGGCTCTTCACTGATAATTGGGGTGTGCAATGTGCATTTGTTTGTTTTCTGTTTGTTTTTTTTGGGGTGTGCATTTGTTAACTGTCCGGAAAAAAAAAAAAAAATGTTCCTTCTTCCAGGTTAAGCGACACGCTCACGACACGAGGAAGATGAGCTTGAGAGCATGAGCGACGAAAGCATTCTTTACTTCATGGCGGTCCCCGCACTTTGGCGTCCGTCGTCCGCGAGGCCGGAGCAGGAGGTCCTCCTTCATGGTGGTCCCCACGCTATGGTGGAATGAAGTGCGCACCAGTTACAATAAATGTCGTCGGTCACGCTGGAGGCTCTGAAGAGCCAGCTGGCCAGAACCATTCGCTTACATCCTCCTGGGTTTTAAAGAAGTTTCTTTTTTTTATGGGGGGGGGGGGGGGGGGGAGGGGGGAGAGGAAGGGGGGGGTGTTGTTATCTTCCTTGTTGTTGCAAAGTACACCACCTACTCTCCCTACCCCAGCAGCAGTTCTGTTTGCGACGAGGTAGAGGTAGGTTGTGTGTCTTATGGCCGACCCCACCCACAGTCTAATGGTGTTGTGTGTCTGTTGACAGAGGAAAAGTGTAGTAGCAGATAGGTAGGTTGCACTAGCATCTTTTGATTTTGATGAGGAGGAGGGAATAACAGACTCGATTGACGAGGTGGAGGGAATAACAGACTAGATCCAGCTTCTGCGAGGGCAGGTCCAGACATCGCGTGTGTGCATTAAAAGAGAGTGATAACATCATAGCAGTACCATCACCTGATTGCGATCAGCAGCACCATCACCTGATTGCGGTCAGCAGCACCATCACCTGATTGCGGTCAGACCAGGCAAGCTGCAACACGCACACGCAGAGCAGAGAATCAAGGGGACAAGTTCAGATGCAATCTGCAGTGCAGTGAGGGTAATCGGTCATCACCCCAAGCAAGGGGAACATGCAATCTGTGTAATGATCATGGTATGTCTGTGTGTGTGTGGAGAGAGAGAGAGAGAGAGAGAGAGAGAGAGAGAGAGAGAGAGAGAGAGAGAGAGAGAGAGAGA